ACAGTAGTCTTGGGTTTTTGATATTTATATGGATAATAAAACCAGTCTACATCACCCTATATGCTATACATTATTTGCGTGCTGCTACCTTGACGGTGTGCATGGGTATGGGCGGACAGGTAGTAAAAACAGGTTTTGTTAGTGAATACAACTCACTCTCTCTCTCATACACCCCTTTCTCTCTATCCTACTAGATCACGTGACACTGACAACGAATGACAATAAAGACAGACAAACAATGAACTAGCCACAAATACCAATAGGTGGATCCCACATCCAACACCTGGCTACAATATCATGTCACAAGTTTAGAAAAGTGGATGGTTCTTAGAATTTTTTCTCCGAAGAACTGGAAAATAAAATAGACTTAGAAAATATTAGTAATATTTCAATAAAAAAAACAAATATAGACATATCACATTCAGTAAAGGTTTACAGGTGAAAACAGATTTCAGAATGTGTTACCTTGGTGCGAAAAGTGTAATATAAACTTTAGAAAAATATACCAAGCCAGGTGAATTTTAAGAGGAAGATCAAAATGACAAAAAATAGCAATATCACATAGGCTGATTTTTACCATTTAGCTTTTCTTAATAAACTTCACCTGCTTGGTATATTTTCTTACAGTGGCTGGAACTCGTACAACGTTGTAAAGTTATCCCAGGGGTGGGCGACCATGATGCAGTCTTAATTGACTCCTTATTGCAGCCACTTAGAAGTAAACCGGCCCGTAGGGAAATATACTTATGGGATAAGGCCGATATGTCATCTTTACGAAGTGACATCAACACCTTTGTACAAGACTTCATCACCAGACCCTTCACTTCTGTTGATACTCACTGGGACCTCTTCAGAGACACCACACTTAGCATCATTAACCGACATGTTCCTCACAAGCTCACACGATCCAGGACATCTAATCCTTGGATCAACACAGCTAGCAGGCGCTTAGCACGCAGGAAATTACGTGCATTCCACAAGGCCAAGCAGACAAAGAAGCAGCGTGACCAACAAAGGTACCTGTCTCTGAAGTCAGAGTGCCAGCGTACTATTCGCCTTGCCTACCAACAGTACTTGAACGACATTATCAACCCCAGTGCCTCAGAAAACCCCAAGAAGTTCTGGTCATTTATTAAGAGCAAAAAACAAGAAGCCTCTGGCGTAGCACCATTACGGAATACAGATGGACTCATAACCAGTGACCCACAAGCCAAGGCGAATAGCTAAAATGAACAGTTTAAATCTGTATTTACAACAGAGGATACTAGCCAAGTTCCAGACAAGGGTCCAAGCCCATTTCCTACAATGGGAGGCATAACCATCAATTCACGTGGTGTACTCAAGCTTTTAAGTAACCTTCAACCACACAAGGCTACCGGACCAGATGCCATATCAGCACGTTTTCTGAAAGAACTGGCAGTGGAGATCACACCGGCTTTAAATTTCCTTTTCCAAATGTCTCTGAATAATGGATGTGTGCCAGATGACTGGAAGATGGCCCATGTCGTCCCGATTTTTAAGAAAGGCGACAAGAGTTCAGCGGCTAATTACCGTCCTGTATCTCTAACGGCAATCTGCTCTAAGATCATGGAACACATTTTCCATTCCAACATCATGGACCACTTTGAAAGGAACTCTATCCTAACACCAGCTCAGCACGGATTTCGTAGTAAGCGATCTTGTGAGACTCAACTTATAGCCACAGTACAAGACCTGGCTAGTAGCCTATCGAACGGCAACCAGATTGATGATCTTACTGGATTTTGCCAAGGCATTCGATAAGGTTCCACACCAACGCCTTCTCCACAAATTGAATTACTATGGGATTCGTGGTTGCACCCTACAATGGATAGAAAGTTTCTTATCAGACAGAAAGCAGCGCGTATTGGTTGAGGGAATGTCCTCCAACATGGCAGACGTGAACTCTGGAGTACCTCAAGGCACAGTAATGGGTCCCCTATTATTTCTTGCCTACATCAATGACCTCCCAGAAGTAGTAACATCAAATGTCAAATTGTTTGCAGATGACTGCCTTATCTACAGGACAATTCAATCAATCAATGACACAGTCCAACTTCAACGGGACTTATGCGCATTAGAGAAATGGGAAAGGGACTGGCAGATGGATTTTCATCCTCAGAAATGTACTACCATCCACATTTCTAAGAAACGACATCCGATTAAAGAATCATACCATCTGCACAACCATACCCCGGAAGACGTCCCAAGTGGTAAATACCTGGGAATCACAATTAGTCAAGATCTGTCATGGCGTGAGCATATTAACTTAACATCTGCCAAGGCCACAAGAACAATTGGTTTTCTAAGAAGGAACCTGAGAAGCTGCCCACAGGATATCAGAAGCAGGGCATACACCACACTTGTACGTCCAGTATTGGAATACGCATCAGTGGTTTGGGATCCTCACCAACATCACTTAATACAACACCTGGAAAATGCTCAGCGCCGGGCAGCAAGGTTTGCCACTGGCGACTACTTGTCAAGGGACCCAGGAAGCATGACCACCATGCTACATCAACTCGGCTGGGAACCACTAGAACATCGGAGGGCCCGGAACCGTGTGATCATGTTCTACAAAATCTACCATCATATTGTGGAAGTTCCGGTACATCATGTGCTGCATATCACCAACAGCAGAACTCGTGGTTCTATGGCAAACAACATCCGCCAAATCAGCACCAGGGTTGATGTTTACAAATATTCCTTCATTCCAGCAACTATTATAGCATGGAATAAAATACCAACCACAATCAGGAGTTCGCCATCAGTGGACAATTTCAGACACGCTTTACAGACCATCAGCGTGTCTGAGATCCTACACCATTAGACTGTCCACTTTTAACTTTTTACCTCTTTTAATATGAGTGTACATAGGTTTTTAACTGTTCACCACAGAATCACTGGAGTTTCAACACTCAATTTGAGTTTACTCCTAAAAGGGAAGAAGAAGAAGAAGAAGAAGAAGAACGTTATTGTTGACAAACCAATCGTGTAGGATCGTTCGTATATCGTGAGCGATCGTTTGTGTAACGTGAAAGATCGTTCGTGTATCAGACTCAATCGTGTGCGTTTTTAATCGTGCGAGATCGTGTGTTTAGAATCGTGTAAATTTCGTTTTGTAAGTTTTTATCGGAATGTTACAGGTAAAATGAGCATTTCCCTTGTTTGTTTTTCTTAATTTATTAATTAAAATCCAAAAATGAAAAAGCGCAATTTACATAATAGAATGCAGAACGAACTAATTATCGCCCGTAAACAAGCAATATAGTAAGTCGTACAATATTAAGTTCTCGTCAAATAGCGCGATCAATATTGTGATAAACCGTACTTCGATCTTAATCGCCTTCATGAAAAATCTTATTTTAATTATTATTTGCTTCTTATTACGGTCAGGATAATCTTGAAATCAATTCATTGAAAATAAATAATTTTTTTTACAAAGAAATAAACATTTCTCAATGCCTACATAACTAGTTAGTCGACAAATATACATGGACACGGCATGATTTTCGGAAGTTTTCATTATCGGTGTTTATCTCTTGAGCCTATTTGTAATTAATTAATTTTGAATTTCTGCAAATGAAAAAGTTGAATAATTGGCAAGTTTATCAGACATTGTATCAATGGAAACATTAGGATAAAATTTGAAATTATAATTTAAGTCATTCCATGCTGACATTTTTGTTCAATCGTATCCCCCTTTCTGCATATCATGATATCCAATTCAATCAAATTATACCACCCACATACATGTACATTGTCTAATAGAACGAACAAAATCCGTTTTTTTTTTATCGGAGAATTACCTTAGAAATAATTATTTTTAATCTAAAATATTAAGGCTTGCATATATTTAGTTACAGAAACATCATTTTCCGTTTTTTTCTACAACGTCTATGAAATAATATTGATAATTCTTTGAAATCTTAAATAAGTCATAAGCCGTATTTCGTTTTGAAAATATTGATTCCTAAATAATTTGTACTATTTTGAGTGAAGAATCGTGCGTTTGCGTTAACAATCGTGTAAGATCGTGTAACGTGTAGAATCGTGAACGTTAAAGATCGTTCGTGTAACAGGTTTAATCGTGCGGAATCGTTCGTGTAACGTGATCGTTCGTGTAAGTTGTCAACAATAACGTTCTAGCCACTGTAAGTTTATATTACTCTTTAAGCACCGTGGTAGGATATTCAGATATTTGTTTTCACCTGTAAACCTTTACTGAATGTGATTTGTCTATATTTGTTTTTTCAATGGAATATTACTAAAATTTTCCAAGATTTTTTCATATACCAGTTCTTAGGGGGAAAAATTCTAAGAACCATCCACTTTTCTAAACTTGTGACATGATATTAAATCTTTTTCAAAGAAAAGATTTGCTTGTATCATCTGTCCTTAGCAGATAGATTAGAACTGGATGTTGGTTAGCATAATAATTAGAATTAATTTGTCTAACAGCATGAAAATATACATTTGGAATATTTTATTGTGGATAGATAAACAATACTGTCATACAGAAAAAAAGAGTCATTAAAAGTAGGGAAAAATATTGGTAAAGAAATATCACTTAGATTTTAAAGAGAGCTAAAGTAAACGTCATATATTATTTGTTTCAGATATCATCTGGTCATCATCTTCAATTTCCTCATCATGAACCCTCACATTTTTTGATCTATCTAAAAAATAAAAAATTCTTTATTTACATTTGTGACCATCGAATATTTTAAATTTAATACCGTTAATCACTTTTTATTCGCGAGAACTTTATTTTCGCGTAATTACGCGAGACAATGTGCTTGTGAAAATTTACTCCTCGCGTAAAATAGTATTCCTTAAGAAAATAAAGAACAAGAACCACAATTCGTGAAAATTATGTCTCGCTTATAAAAATAAGTTGTCGCAAAAAATTAGTGATTTACAGTAATGTTTGTAAAATATTTCTATAAAATACATGTAGTAACTGGCATCAAAACAATTTGTCATCGATAAGTGGAACAATGAAAGCAATTGCAGCTTTTGAATAAATACATACCACGTTGTCTTCTGTAAAATATCACCGCAAGAGCTGGTAACAGAACAGCAATAATGCATATTATGGACACAATTATGATGGTTTCTGTTCCATTGTTTGGTACATCATTCCTGATGCTCAACAGGAAAACAATAACAGTACAGAATTACGCAAATATTGTCATTAAAGATTCTTAAACACACTACATGTATATATCGTTAGTGGTAATTGTTTTCACTGTCTTCGATAGTATAATTTTTTATTTTAAGGTTGTCAATTTCAACCTGGAATCGAAATGAATGTAATCTTTTTATTTGCGTTTTAGTTACTCCTCTTAGGCATCATTTACACATTCCTTAAATACCAGTAAACAAATAAGTGTAACTAACAAAGCAAATGCGATGTAGAAAATGGACATAAGAAAATAATATTTGAAGAATAGTAGAAAGTCATGAGAAACAAAGAGAGGAAAAACGATGTATAGGACAATAAATTAAAAATATCATACCCACTATCTTCTGTAGTAACAACGAAAACCGATTTCTTCTTTTGAATCTCTACTAATCTGTAACATTCTTGGTCTGAAAGTTACCAGGTATTGTAAGACAAATAAAATATACTAAACGTATTATAAAATTCCTGAAATTAATATATCTATATACGTATATATCTATTTTGGGACGTGATAAAAAAAAAACCATGAATGATGATTCCCCCTCACTTGAAGAATATACAAAATTGTCTGTAAATATAAAACGTTTAAGGACTGTTTTCATTTCATTTCATAAATAAGTGAAGGGAATGCATTCATGTATATAGCATTTAACAATGGTAGGAATGATTTCTTGACAAAAAACCCATTAATCTTTAACAAATTTTTTTGAACAGAACAAAATGCCAATAGCCCCAATTTTATTATCATTATAAGCACATTTTATGCATTAAAACTATAAGAAAGTTATGCTAGTCTGTTCTGGGTAATAACAAGATGTGTTTGTGAAACACTATGCACCCGGTGGCAACAAAGTTCGAAAAAGTTATCTTAGGATAAAGGTCACAGTCAAGGTCACGAAGTCACTAACCATAGTGTCGTTTGAAAGGGTTTTACTAGTAGGTATGCATACCAAATATGAAATTTCTATCTCGCACGGTTCAAAAGTTATGGCGAAGGTTAAAATTTACAACAAACAGATAAATAGACAAACAGACGAACAGACATACAGGACAAAAACAATTTACGCACTCGATCTATCGACCAGGGCGCATAAACACATATGTCCAATAGCTTACATAGATATGCATCAGAAGAGAGATATCTTGGAGGGCATGGTTTGGAGAATGTTGTACACGGTGCTCTGAAATTGTCCTGAATTCGTTCTCCTTGTAGGTTGTATTCTGCACAAAATCCTGTCCAAAAACCAAACTTATATAATATAAATAGAATATAAATAATTAAATTCATTGTAATTCCCCTTAAAATGAAATATTTTAGTACGTTATTGTAAATATATGAGGTCGTACCTATACAAAACCAAATGGGTGCACAAACTTCCATTGTCGCATTCATGAGCGAATTAATCACACAATGGTATTGGAAGTTTTCTGGTTTGACGCAATCTTGAGTAATGCTTGAGCAATTCTTTCTCACTGCTGCATCCATCCACTCATTCCGTGTTCCTGGACAACGTTTTACGTATTGGACCGTCATTTTTGACTGTGGGCAATTTCTGCTACTTTCACCCTATAAAACATATAAGAGTCATAACTGTTTCAGGCTAAGTGACCGTTTTATAAAGAACCTATGACTAAAACCACAAAATATATATATATATATTTTTGCGATTTATATTCTTCCATAAACAAATTTGAAAAGATATGTATTCTAATTTTATATGATTTTGGAGGAAGTTATTTTAATGAAAAAAATATTATGAATAAAGGAATGAATAAGAATTAATTCTAGATCTTTACTTTGAATTTGAAAATGAAATGCTCTTATTTCAATTTGAAAGTATATTCTTTTTATAAATTTGATTTAGTGTAGAATAAAAAAGTCGTGCTTTATTAACACAAATTAGATAATAAAAAAGAAAGAAAAAACCTTCCTTACACGTAGTAATGATACAATTTTAAAGGAATTGTTCAAATTGAAATCTTTGTACTCCTGAAACAATTAAAATTAATATCGGTATTGCGAAATTGATGAAAAAGGAACCTACAAGGAGATAAATAACATAAACACACGTGTGTAAACAAAATATACCATATAAGAAAGGAAACACAGCAGTAAAACAGCTAAAACAAGACAATTTTCTTGCTGTCTCCTTTGGCCTCTGGCAATCATATGATGAATCCCTTAAAATGAGAAAGAGCAATTTCATCAGTTAAAAAAATGACATATCTAATGTACACCAAAAAAGCAAATATGCCCTGTAAATTCAACTAGATACATATATACATGTATGCAAAATTATAAAAACTTCTAATGTTCAAAATTTTGAAACAGTTGCCAAGAAAGTCAGAAAGTTACAGGGCGTTAAAGCATTTGTGATCTGGATATAGTAGAATGATCCTCACAAAACGCAGAATTTTATTTCAGTTTAATTTTCGTCACATACAATTTTATTGTAACTATAGAAAAATGATTGGGAATGACAATTTGATAAGAATTCAATAGACAGAGTGATAAATATTTAAAAACTTATTAATTACTAACAATTTCATTAATCTGGTATTCAAATATCAGTCAGATTTTCTAATTAAAGTCGGCGACCATAGGTCGTCTATCCTTTCTCATTTATAAACTTTTCACATTGTATGCCTCTTCTCAAGAAACTCTTTGGCCAATTTCATCAAAAATGCCACAGGAATGAAGGGAATTAAGTTAGCTTAAATGAAGTACAACGAATAAGAAATTCTTGAAAATTTGGTGGCCCCTTTAAACATATTCGTGTCAAGACGGATTGGGCAAGAAAATATGAAAGCTTTATTACGTGTACATACTTTTGATTAAAGTGTGTTCATATAAAAAAAAAACCCGAGGTAGGGTGCGGCCAAAACAGAGGTAGAGGTTTTTCACGTGAATATATAGGTTATGTCTTGAAAAATATTGCCTATAGGTTATGTCGAGAACAGCAAAGCCATGATAAGTCATATTATATCAGTGTATATTACTATTATCAGGTAGTGTAGATTTTAAATTTGTATCAATAATGACCCCTGAAGGTAAGGAAGGGCCACAAACGGTGGTTAAAAATCATCATAGAAATACATGGGGCTTTCTTTAATTTAAAGAACATATAAGCCGTTATTAGTCATATAAATACAGAATTTTCTTCAGGTAGATCTATAGATACATTTTTGGGGTTTTTCAAATACTGACCTCTTGGGTAAGGGTCCATAACAGTCGGTCAAATTCTGACTTAAGAGATACATGTACAAATGTAGCTGTGATAGTTAAGGGACAATTGCATGAAGCACATTGAATATTTCAAAAATGGAATGAACTGACAACACTTATAATAGGTGCAATGTAACGCAATGGGATTCAAGGCAGAAATATCTTCTTATTCTTATCCAATATTAAGAACCTCTAGGGGAAATATGTTGCAAGCAGTACATTACCTAGTTTTTTTTATAAGAGAACAAAATATAAAGTAACTGTGAGATTTATCCTCAGACAGAACAGTCTTGATAATAATTCCATTCATTAACATTAACTAAGTCAGAGTAAAAGGTAGCCTACCGATATATAATCCTTTGTAAGAACCTAATTTAGGAACTATGTTAAAAGAAAATTTTATTCTAAAGAATAACTAAACAATTATTTGTCTCTTTTTATGTAGTATAAATTTAAATTTGTTTCAAGTTCTTGGTGGGTAGGGTTTGGCCACAATATGCGATACATACATTATATAGGAATCAATCATAAGGAAACACAAAATTTTGAAATTCTTTTGCCTAAGAATAGCTGTTCAATAATTAGCAATATTGGTATGGAAACACACTGATGTAGTATTATCATTTAAATTAAGTTCTTCTTTTTCATTATCAAAGGACTTAGGTGATCGATGTGGCCCATGGACCTCTTGGTCTTATAGGTCTTCTAGAGAATTGACAAAAGAACAAAGGAAATTGAAATAAAAACCATTTTTAGTAGGAATTTTCTAATAAGTTATCAAAGGAAAAACAATGTCAGAAAAAAATTAAAATCCTAAACATGTAATTATCAGAATGATTCTAAAATGATTTTACTATCAATACTTCTTACCAACCTTCTGTACACGTGTACATATGCCGGTACTAAATAATGTACTTAATGTTATAGGTCAATAATTACATGCACATTTGGTACAACAACGTACGATATTGGTGACATTACCGAAGTTTCGAAATTTTTTTTTAAATATAAAATTAAAACAGTTTTTATAATATTCCTCTTTGGGTCAAATTAAGCTCAATTATCTTATTTATTATTTAAAAAAAAAATGTTTGTTACAATTGATATGCTTGAATGGACATTTTAAATCTTTGCTATCACAATAAGCCTAATTTTTGTTTTACAAATAAAAGATTAAAAATGTGATACATTGAGCAATGACGAGGTTTTAGAAATTGATTATTTGCACAATTGAGAATAAACTTACGAAGAGCACGGCATCTTTGTTATTTTATGGCACCATCCAAAACTAAAACGAAAGTAAATTTTGAGCAATATAAACAAGATGAATGATTTGCTTTGTTGATTGCTACGTCACAAACATGAAATGCTTGAGTAAACTTTGTTCGAAGGTAGTTCAGACAATCTAACATCTGCCGCCATACCGGGTCAAAATACGTGTTTCCCTTTCTGTTTCTGTATATATATATATATTTAACATTGAATATGTTCAGGACAATTTCTGTTAGAACAATAAATACTGTACTTAAAAAAACACTAACACATTAATAAAACCACGCACTGAAATTAAAGGACCTAATATATGGATGTGACCTACTTCAGTATAATTCCTTGCGAATTGCAAGAAAGATAACTTTATCATACATCCAAGTCAAGTCTACCATTCTAACTTTTCTTGAGGAACAGACCAATAATTTTGATTGTCATTCTACTGAAATCAACATCAACTTATCTATACATCTAGAGATGTAAATGTTTTCCTTCATTAAGAGGCTTTTTTCTAATAAAAGGAATCAATACAATTTTTAGCTGTATTTTATTTGCTGAAATTGATAAATGCAGCCATTTATATATTTTGAAATTAAATTTGAAAGTTCCAAGTACAATATTGAAGGACCTCTTGGAATTTTATGATGCCTGATAAAATTGTACATGTATAATTCCTCATCTTTTTCAAATTTTGGAAATGTGACCTTAATTCTATATTTATGTTCATTAAAAAAAATCATGGCATTGTCATCATTTTATACCTCTTCTGCTAATGTGTGTTGATGCTTTGTGTATGATCATCGTATAGTTTTAAATATGGATTTAAAATTGCGAACATCTGAGGCAATTATCAGTGAGAAAGGTACATTGAGGAATTTGTGTACATGTATGAAGCATATGTCCTTAAGTTGACTTCAGTATGATGCATTAATTGCTATGAAGCATATCGAAAACATGCATGCAATATATATTTGCATGTGAATAAACCATTTTATTTCCTATCTATTTCCGTTCCAGTTATTTACTTTAGACTAAATGAGTCGTTTCCGTTCTAAACGTATATCTTTAAATTTCCCCAAATAATAAAATTCTATATGATCCATATACCCAACGTAAGTCATGTTTTTTTTTTTTAAAAAAATGATAAAATTAGAACAGATAAAACAAACGATTTTTTTTCTTATAGGAGGAGACTTAATATTTTCTCACGGGTGTAGAAAGGTAGATAATTCTTTGAATATTTTCTCCCCTGTTTTGGAAAATGATATAGATTTAAATAAGAAAATATGCCAAGCCAGATGAATTTTATGTACGCGAGTTTGTAAAGGCATCACATGGATCAGAATATCAGGAAAGTCATAGTTAAAACTTTTGCTATCATTACATGGATGCATTCTACATGTACATGATAAAACCTCAATAGGACTTAAACTACATGAATCTCTATACCACGACGTCACCATGTGACATCTATAATTAGAAAATAGCCTTAATGAATATATGAAAAGTTCATCAATACCCCGGCGAGATAATTATTTTTGCTTTGTAATAGTAGTTATGTAAATAAAAAAAATATCTGTACCATGAAAAGTGCTCTCCTATCACAAAAATAATCATTCAATACTTTCGGACGAAAACTTCCGATTTTTGTTTACTTTTTGTTCATAAGATAAAAAAAATATGCATAAATTCTCTTTAACCATACGATTCTAGAAGCAATTTCCAAAAACATTAGAATAAGAATTTTAGATAGAAACAAAAATTAAGTTTCAAAGTATGCGGCATAGTGTTGAACTTTTGCAATTTTTTTTGTTACGAACGACAGGGGAAAGGCTGATTGACAAGTAAAGACATTTTCTGCCTTTATTGTACGAAGATATTGTAGAATAATATTAGCATATTTTTTTCATAAGCTTTTTTCCCACATGAATCACACATGATATTCATTCTAAGTGCTTTTAAACTCTTGTTTCTTGTGTTTCTTTACATGCATTCTCGTTACATTTCACTTTCACTCTGCTATATTTGTAATACTGATCAACAATTATGACATCAAGGGTCTGGTATTTAACCCCTGTAATAAATACATAGACCCAGAAACGACAAGATTCTATTTATACTATGCCTCTGCATATTTTGATTAATTTTTACGATCTCAAAAAGTTCAAGTCACATAGCTTACTATGAAGTCATATGATATAGGCAAGTAGAATATGTGGTTGTAACCTTAACATACATGCGTAAAGGTAATGCAAAATTGTAAAAAGAAAAAGTCTATTAAATTTTCGCCATTTTGCGTTTCCTTATAAAATTTACCTGGCTTGGTATATTTTCATTAAGTGTTTAATACACTTTTAGCCCTAACCTAAAATATTCTGTATTCTCCCCACGTTCAAAACAGTTTGAATCATTTGTCCCCAAAACCACCTAGATGTCTCATTGACTAACGTCACATGAGGAAATAGATTCCAGAATATCATAATTTGCGTCCAGTGATTACATGTACTTAACTAGGGCTAATTGTAACGGGGACCGATACAGATGTTCCCCAAACGCTCCCCATGTCCCTTTTCCTGTAACACCTTTTATGAATATACTAAGTATTTAAGGATTTCATTTAAAGATATTAAAGTTACAATGATATCAACTATATATCGTTTAAAGTTTTGCATTGGCGCACACGTACATGTACATGCATATGCAAGATGATCATGGCATGTTGGTTAAGCGATCTTTACATCCCGCGAATAATAGAAAAAATACAGATATAAAGTTACCACATTTCAAGTATATATCATTTTTTGAAATACCTTCTCTACTGATTTTAACCTCGGGCTCAAAGTTGGTTTTATTCCTACGACAAGGCAGTGTTAAAGTCCACTGAGGATATCACGCCGATGGCTAACCAATCAAAACAAACTTAGTCAATTTTAGTTCCATACATAGAAAAGGGATTTTCCTTTAATCTGTTCAGATTTTTTAAAATATATTTCCTCTCTGGTCATTCTGACAGCTCTGGTACCTGTGCCTAGTAAATTTTATATACTATGTAAATAAATATATACCTGTAAAGGTGTTTGACCGGAACTATTCATTTTTTCCAATGCATAGGAGGCTACTTTCTGGGGTTTACAATAGATATTTATAAAGAGATTCGTATCAGCTAATGTGACCAATATTCTTTAAGACCTTCTTATTAATATGTTTTTCATGAATGCAAATACCTGATATTTTTTTTTACGAAGGAGCGTACATGTATATTGATTTTGAATTTCTGGGGATTGCGTAATTCTAAAAAAAAAATCAATTAAATTTCAAAGGTTAAATAAACAAAGGATGCTTGGTATTAAAATATTGTTTCAAATCAGTAGAATTGAATGCTATTAACGACATCCGAATAAATACATGTAAACATAGAAGGCTTATATACCAACTTTGTTCATCTGTACTTTAATTCCAAACACGACAGGATTTGTAATTAATTAAATTAATAATTTCTATATACTTTGAAAACTCACATCAAGTATTTTAATACTCTATCCTCGAGCTCTTTTCTGCAGTTTCCTTGAAATGTTATGTGGGTCCGAGGTGTAATTTGAGCTTTACAGCGATTCTCTACTTTGTGTGAGGGGGGGGGGTTCTTTCTAACCTTGGGTTAAGGTCAAAGGTTAAGGTCGATTTTAAAGTTCATAGGTCAAGGTCATTTTAGTAAATAGCTAATATCAACAGGTTACTAGTGACCTTGACCTAAGTATCAAGGTCAAGGGTAAAAAGATCTGCTTCAGTATGTTACATGTCTTTACATTTATAAGTTCTTAATTCTGCATGAACATCAAAAGACTTAAGTATACTGTCGTTTAACGCATTGTGTGTGCGCGCATGTGCATGACGTCCTTGCATTTACTTTTGATGGTAGAATAATGTAGGCATTCATTATATCTATTCATATTCGAAATTTCACCCTGTATTATTGAGAACTAAGAAAGTTTAAGGCATTTAAACTTTTAGCCAATCAGATTGCAGCTAACGTGCATGTGCGTGCGTTCATGATTATTCTGATATATCATGCTGTAGATCTTCATAATGTATGACTATGTTGAAAATTTCAAAGGATTTTGTCAGAAAACAAAAAAGATATAAAGACTTTTGTTTCAACCAATCGGAACGAAGCGCACGTGCATGGGCGTGAGATCTTGCTATTTTGACCATGTCATCATGTCTTTACTACTATTATATCCTTATATTATGAGTTTCAAAGCATTTCATAAAAAAATTAAAAGGTTACGGCTATATATATCATATTGGTCATTTCACGCGTTACACCTGTGCGTACATGCACGCACGTGCGCGCAAAATGACCTTCGTTCCGCACATCTACATAACACACCTAGTGACCCTAAAAAGGTTTCACCTAGATCGGATGAGTAGTTTACGAGAACACTCGCGGACAAAAAAAAGTACCGGAGAAGAAAATTCAGAAAAAAAGTAAAAACAATATGTTCCCAAACTCCGTTTGGGGAACATAATTAGAGCGTAGCTTAGATTGGTATTTTGTGTCTTTAAAATATATCATGTACTAACAAATTCTACTAGATCACCTTTACTTGATCTACAATTATTTACCATACAAAACTCTTTGAAATACTTCCATCACTCGGAAAACATTAAATTTTGATATTATCTTAATAAAAAAGTACAACATTTTTTTTTTCCTACATGAGAGTTGATCAAACTGATAAAAAGAGTCAATTAGCAAATGAAGTATCAATTTGCTAGTCATAAATACCTGTTATGGATCTTTCATGCACATTCAAAAATTAAGATGCGCGGATTTAGAGGGGGGTCGAGGACCACCACCCCCCACCCCTCCGGCCACTTTGAATTTGCAGAGTTATTTAATGTATATACTAGTCCAACAAAAACATTCCTTGGGCTTCCTTTGAAAACGCAGATTTTTGATACATTTCCAAAAATTATAGAAATGAAGATGATTTAGAATTCAACAACAACTAAAACAGTATTATACAAACTCAAAAATCCTTTTTGTGGGATTTGGAGTGTGATGTTGAAAGGAGAGTTAGTGATGATGGTAGGGTTTAATCATCTTCGCAATTTTTCACGACCAAACCTTCATTTTCAAACGTCCTTTTGTCCCCTTATTCGACTTTGTAGCAACAAAAATGTTGAAAATGTTGAAAGTGTTTGTTAGGAGGGGGACTTTTAATAATCATATACTATAGTAAACATTTATGTCAGAAAAAGGGGATCTGGCTCTCCTAATACTACGCCCCTGCCAAAATAAGCATAACAACGAATAAAATCCATTTTAATCCTGTAGTCATTTTTTGTCAAGAAAGACTAAAAGTACGGATTTAAAGAAATACGCACATCTAGCTGGATACATTACAGAATCAAAACTACACTGACTAAATTATTAGAAATAAAACATGCTTAAATGACTGTGAATGTTTATATATACTTTGAGCTAAGAAGGAAATAATCGATTGCAGTCACGCGATCAGAATATACGTTTGACATTCAAATTTAATTATTTACATACTGAATGCTTTTCAATTCTGTTAATTGTTGCCATTAATTACGTTGTCAGTATTTGCAAGCAAGCCAATGAGAAGATGGAATGCTTCTTCACTTATGTTTGCTTTTTATTTGCCTTGCTTAACAAGCTTTGTGTAAGTAGAATTCAAAATAATGTTTTGAAACATAATGGTGTTCAATGCCTACATCGTACGTTTTCCATCTTTCAGGTTTCCTCCATCATGTTTATTCGGGGAAATGTATGATATTGCAACCAATTCTTGTGTAGGTAAGTCACACATAGTAGACATTACTCCAACAGTTTTAGCCTTTTTAAATAATCAAAACACAATTATATGATTTATTTTAAAGATTCCATATGAAAAAAGGGAAAAAAATCTATCTAAAGCAAATGCACTTTAAAGAAAGCATCAAATAATGAGACCTCAAAATAAAATACTTACTGGAATTTCCTACAATACCGTCAGGTTATTTTAAAAATAACACAACTTCTAAAATATGACCTAAATTCAAATACATGTAATTGAATACTAAAGCCAACAACACCACTAATACTTAAACACTGTAAAAGTATGTAATGTTAACAAGAAAGAGGAAAGGCAACTACTTCTTCTTGTATATGTTAGATTGTGTGGAAGGATATTCTGGACCAAATTGTTCTATACGTTGCCCGTTCCCTGGATATGGTAAAGCTTGTCAGCTCACTTGTAGCTGTGCTGAAGAGGAATGTGATGCTGCTACCGGATGCATATACAGTATAACAGGGAAAAGTACGATTGTTTTTGTTCAATTTTTTTTATGATAATGACAGTTCAGTTTCTTTGTATGGTATTTTTGGCTTTTTTTGTGGATTTTTAATGTTTTCGGATTTGCAGTCAGCTTAAGATTATATTTCTTATTTTTTAAATCTTTCAAGAATTTTTAACTTAATGAGGAATCGTGACAAACATCTATAACTTCTCCAGGTATTAAGATATTTTGTCTGGGTTTATTTTTCTTTAGGACGAAGAAACGAAACTGAGACGAAAATGTTTGTAATAAGGGATCATATTGGTGTGGATGTTCTTTCAACTCTTCATCCATCACAACTAAATAGCTTTCAAAGCACTGATTTATTAACAAATGGTAATCAAGAAAACGAACATAGAAATATATCTAGGCAAACAGGAATCGGGATTTTATCAAGTGTACTGGTTATTCTTGGTATTTTGTTTGGTGTGTTCTTTTATTCAAAAAGAAAGTATTGTCAGAAAAACCATGAGAAAAGGTATGAAACTCATTATGAAGACATAAATGAACTTTAATTTGTATGTATATGTAATATGTATATAATATAATTAAGGTAACATGCACAGCGAGTTTCAAGTACTTTTCAGAAAAGTTTGAATAAAAGCTAAACATCATTTGATTTTGCTTATGAAGTGCATATTCCTGATTTTTGGAGAGTTTTTGGATTTTTTTTTTCATTCTAATAAGTTACATAACAAGTATACCTTTTTAAAAAGGGATTGTGTTTTCTTAATTAATAATCGGAATTAGCTGCATAATACATACATGTTGTATAATCTTGAGCACTGACGAATTATCCATAGCGCTTGTTCAAAAATCGTTATTTAATAAATTATTTTGAAAAGGGGACGTGTGAATGTAATATTATGACTGCACTGGAGATGTGCCCAATTTAGATTAAAATTAAAGTTTCTTTAAAATTTCATCTAATTCATCAAACAATTATGTCTGGAAACCCCTTATTTCACCAAGCTACATTTGTAAATAAGCATTAAAAACACGTTTCTTAATGTTGAAAAAATATGAATGCACCATTCTTTTACCAGATTTATCTTAATTCTGATAACTTTTAAAATATTTTTGCAGATGTATAGTTTAGTATTTAAATAACATAACAGTGTTATTCGAAAACGATGACAAAATACATTCATAACATTTAATTTAACGTCAAATCATAACCATATTTGACAGAAGTGGTTAACAAATCGTTCACAAGTGCATATGAAAAAAAGTCGCGATGGATTTCATATTTTCAGATTCTTTTTTAATTGGAAGACGGATCAAAAAGCAGACGACATTTTTCTAATTCAATATCATTAATGATGATAAAGACTATTGACATATCCTTCGTAAAATGGCACAGAAACAAGAGACATTCAATTAAAAAAAATTTTTAATTCCATATTCCATTTCATTACCTAATAATTTTCTTCCTTGAAAAAAAAATTAATTGAAATGGGATCGGTTTTTATTGCAACAGAAAATAAAGACGTCATAGAACGTCAAAAATCATTTGTAAACCTTAAATGATTATTATTTGTCCATATTTGCTTTTTTGTTGAAGTATTAATGAATATTTTTTTCAAATCTATTTCATTTTTCAAGACTAACTTAAGAAGAAAAACTTCAAAGAATAATCCACCTTTTTAATCCTAAAAGGTTTTATAAAGTCTCCTAAAATGTTTGTGTTATCTGTCCTTAAATCGTCTTATATGTCTCAATGATTAACGTCATATGAGAAAATAAACTCCAGAGTCTCATACTGCGTCAAGTGATGTACTTAACTGGAGGGTATTGGAGACTGGTATTTTTAGTTGATTAAAAATCATATTATGTAAAAACAAATTGTTCTAGACAATCTTATATTGACCTACAATTATTTACCATACAAAACTCTTTGAAATACTTCCGTAAATAGGAAAAACATTTGAAATTATCTCAATAAAAAACGTATGGTATTTCCGATATGAAGGTTTATCAAAATAATGAGGAAGAATCAATGAGCAGATGAAGTATCAATTTCGCTAGTCAAAAATACCTGTCATGGATCTTTCATGCATTTTCAAAATTTAAGATGCGCGGATCTAGAGGGGGGTCGAGACCCCAACAACGCTTTGAATTTGCAGTGTTGTTAAATGCATATACTATACTAATCCAACTAAAAGTTACTTTGGATTCCCCTTGAAAACGCAGATCTTTGATACGTTTGTCTGAAAAGTCATAGGTATGAAGATGATTAGAAGTGAATTACCAGAATAATATTATACAAACTTGAAATTTATTTTCGTGGGATTTGGAGGGTGGTCTTTGAAGGAGAGATTAGTTGCTATGGAGGGATTACATTTTCGGATTTTTTTCACGACCAAAACTTCTTTCTCCAACGCACTTCCCTTATTTAACAATTTTGCGACAAAAAGTGTGTGTAGGGGGGGGGGAGGGTGTTCAATAAATATTTCCTATAGTAAATGGCCTGGCTCCCCTGTTACTAAGCTCCTACCAAAATATGCACACGGATAATCCCATTTAAATGTTGCAGTCAATTTTTGTGAAGTATAACCTTCGTTCTTAAACAAGAATGATATTTCTTCAAAAAGATACGCTTATTTGTGACTTTTCCTCAATTAGGAACTATTAATGGTATGGTTTCAAAAAAAGATGCACACCTAGAAGGATACTTACGTATAATGTCCAAAATTATTACTACGAAGTTTACGGTGACTTAAAAATTAAAAACAAAACATGCTTAAACAGCTTTAATTGTTTCTATATTTTTAAGCTTAGAAGGAAATAATAGATTACAGCCAAGTGATCAGAATATACGTTTGATACTCAAATGAAATCACAATAACATACTGCAGGTTTTATGAATTATTGTCTGTGATAATTAATTACGTTGTCAGTATTTGCAAGCCAGATGATGAGAAGGTGGAACGCTTCATCATTTATTTTTATCGTTTATTTGCCTTGCTTAACAAGCTTTGTGTAAGTAGAATTCAAAATAATACTTTGATACATAATGATGTTTAATGCCTACATCGTACGTTTTCAATCTTTCAGATTTCCTCCATGTTTATTGGGTGAAATGTATGATATTGCAACCAATTCTTGTGTAGGTGAGACACACATATGAAACATTTCTCCAACAATTTTAGCTTTTTTAAATAATCTAAACACAATTATATCAGTTCTTTTAAAGATATCGTATGAAAAAGAAAATGTCTTTCTTAAGTAAATACATATTAAAGAGAGCCCCGAATGATGAAATCTGAAAATAAAACTCATTGGAATTTCCTACAATACTTTAACATTTTAAAATCATACAACTTCTCAAATATGACCTATAATCAAATACATGTAATTGATTACTAAGCCGGCAACACCAATAATACTTAAACATCTTAAAACATGTAATGTTAGGAAGAAAGAGCAAAAGCAAGATTTTTAATGATTAATACGTTTAGGTACTTTTTCTTGTAAATGTAAGATTGTGTGGAAGGATATTCTGGACCAAATTGTTCTCTACGTTGCCCGTTCCCTGGATATGGTAAAGCTTGTCAGCTCACTTGTGGCTGTGCTGAAGAGGAATGTGATGCTGCTACCGGATGCATATACAGTACAATGGGTATAAGTAAGATTGGTTTTGTTCATTTTTTTAATGTGAAATGAAAATTCAGTTACATTGTGTGGTACTCTAGACAGTTTATTTTTAGATTTTCAATGTTTTTCCGGAATTTCAATCAGTTTTAGAGTACTTTTCTTGTTTATTTAAATCTATCAAGAATTGCTAATTTAATGGGGACTTACGACAAATATGTATTATGACTCCAAGTTGTAAGATTTTGTGTCTGGGCCTATCTATTCTTTTGGACGAAGAACCGAAACTGAGACAGCAATATTTGTAAAGACGGGTCATATAGGTTTGGATGTTCTTTCAACTCTTCATCCAGTACAACTAATTATCTCTCGAAGGACTGATTTACTAACAAACGGTTATTATGAAAACAACACAAGAATATATCTAGGAAAACAGATATAGGGTTTTATCAGGTGTCGAGGTTATTCTTTTTTATTCCTTTTTTTCAATTTTGTTCACTTATTAAAAAAAAAGTATTACCAGATGAGTCTTATCAAAAAGGGTATGGAAATCATTATTAAGACATAAAGGAACTTTAGTCAGAGCGTTCATTAGAGTGTACGTTTTCTCTTCTGATTTCTGTAAGACAAACCCTGACGGGACATACATTTAAGCATGAGTGTTTACAAAGAGTAATTAAATGTGATACATACTAGTATACTCTATTCAGTATTGATACATGGGTAGAAATTCCATAACTTTGACAGCCATGTATAAAATTCGCAAGCAAATTAAATAACTTCCATAAAACAAATATAATTATATTTTAAAGTAGTCCTCTCTCATTTTAATGCATATCTGTCATCGCTCTACCCATGCGCGATTCACGTGATCAAGGCGGTCACGTGACAATCACTGAAGCATTCTGTTTATAGAAGCTAAAATATTTTGCCGAGTCTTATATTTCTTACCATGCAAGATATATTTATAACAAGAAAAGTATATTTGTCAGAAATGAATAAATTTCGTATACAAGTATGGTTGGATAGGGACATCCTTTCCCACAAAGAAGATGGTGACCATCATAACCCGATCATCTGTCTTCGGAATGTCGTTTATTCAATATAGATATATAGTTGTATTTGCTTTCTTTTTTATCATTATGATACTTAATATTTTAGAAGTCTAATTTAAACAATATGATAGGGATTTAATGATAATATCCTTGTAAAGATATTCCACCATTTTTCTAGCTGTAAGTGCGCAATCTTTCAAGATAAATTGCCTATCAAAGGACACATCTCTACCCCGACTTGCTTTTGCTGGGCTACAAAACAAACGTAATTTTTAACCATCCCCTTCCCTCAGTAAAACAAGCAATCCAATCGATGATTGAACGCCTAGAAAGTCTATTGTCTTCAAAAACCTGGTACAAATTATTAAAAGATACTTCAAAAGAATTTCTAAGTTATACGTAAAACTTTACATCAATGCGTTTCTTGCTTAAGATTGTGACAACCATTTTTAGTAGCAAGTCACCTACATATTGACGTCATTTTCATATTGTGACGCCACAAAGCACATCTCCAAAGTACATTTAAGTACAACACAATAGAAAATAACGATTAAAAGAGACCAACAGGCAATTAATTATAAAATTGAGAAAACCAAATGAAAGGATAGAAGGTTTTAAGCTGCAACAGACATACACTTAGATAAATGTTCATCAATATTATGTAAAAAAAAATACATGGCTCGTGCTTTTAGTTCTTGAATGGATTAAATTTCTGTTCAAGGAAGAATGAAATGAATGTATGTGAAAATAAAGGACTATTTACGAGCTTATTAAACATTACAAAATAAGAGCAGAGCAAACACATACCTCTGAAACACGAGAGGTGGGGTCAGGTGTCATATGTATGGAGGATAAAGAATCCTTGTATGATTTGGAAATAATTGTTAACTCAATGTTTTAATAATCGTCTAAAAGTACGTATGAAAATGGGATGTCAGTATTTGACTTATTATACAATTGTATTCGCTGACAGGGTCCTTGTATCGACAATGGAACTTACAATTTGATGACTTTAAACGAGACTGTTGATTTTCTTCTTTCATCAATTTGTTAGTCAATAATATACTTCGTTTAGAAATTGTCAATACGTAGACCATGCTCTTGCGTATCGTATCAACTGAAAAATATAAACCCCGTACGCAGATGAAAAAGGTAATATTCCTGCAAAAAATTAGGGAAGTTGACGACTGAAAAATTAGATTAATCACGTTGTTAGTTTAGACGCCTTTTTCTTATAAAATAGTCTCAATATTAAACATATTCGTCAGGCCCTGTAATGTTTTTTATCTTTAGCTTGCCGGTATATATCGTGTTGACATAAGAATGAAAGTAACCATTGTTAATTGACATTATCACATCTCGAGATGAAGGTTACAGGAAATAATGTTTTCTTTTCTTCATGTAAATCATTTAAAACATGTTCTACATGAATACAAAAATAGGCCCGTTAATACAATGTTCATAACACCATGTAAAATATTGGAGGGAAACATTTTCAGATATGAAAATTTTTAACATGTATTTATCTGGATGAATGGAAAATATGTTATGAGTTCAGCCAAAACAACGTCATTTGCATCAACGAAATAATCATCGAATGACAGAATTACAATTTGAAAATATTTATACAGGTACAAAAAGTGTCTAAGGGGTATAAGATTCCTTTTTGGCTATCAAATGTATTCTTTTTTCTTCAAAACAAACATGAAGAAAAGTGAATAAATGCAAAATTCAAACTTGATCTGTAACTCACCAAGATGCACTCACTTTCCAATATTCAGCTCAATATCTGCAAGCGTTTATAAAAAAGTGCGCAAAACCAAGTGGGACAGACTGGCAGACAGACGACGCAGAGGAAACCTATTGTCCCCTTCAGTTTCGCCGGTTGGGGACTTATAAAGAACTCCATATCACAACAAATTCAGAGGTTTTTCAAGTAAGCTTCACAAAGAAATTCATTCAATAGTAAGCATAATCACCATACTAAGAAGAAAACTGTTTATAAATGATCTCTGCCAAGAGGAGGGTATTTTTAAACTGGCCATTTTACAGACGTCTACTGAAAACTAATATTTCAAATAAAAAAAATTATTTGGAAAAAAAATATTTAAGGCCATATAGATTCCAGATGGATTCAATAATTCAAACGGGAACAAAATGGGTGTTCAAGTTCAATGGTCAATCTAGTCTATTGAATACTGTGGGAACACCAAAATATCGATGTTGTGTGCAAAACTTACACTTACACATTGTTAAGACACTAAATACTTCATCATCATAGCATTAAAAAAAAATGAAATCTGAAAAATGTGTCCCATTTTCTTCCAAATTCCACAGCGAAACTCGACCTCAATATTAAAAAAAAAACAATAAAAGACTTAAAAAAAAAACAAACTTGCATGATGGATTACAAAACATATGTGCACTCTTTATACATGTTATAACCGAGAATGACATCAATAATAAAATTATTGAATCAAAGGAAACTATGCCACTTTATTATGGTTTTGAGAAGCAAGGACTCTAAACATGTTTAATTAGGTCTTATGTCCTTATTTCTTGTTTTTGTTTGTATTTTATTCCTACAATCTATTGATTTACAAACAAAAAATCTACAACATACATGTACAATTAAAAATATTGCCTTGCAAAAATAAGTTAGTCGTTATATTGAATTTATGCTGTACTGGCAATTTCTTTAACCTCGACATTTATCTAGTATATTATTTAGCCAAAGGGGAGGGGAGTCAAAAGGGAGAGCAAATGATATGATTGGTATATTTACAATTCTAACAATATTTTAATGACATTTATTTAAAAAAATATGGGTGGAACTGCAGTAAACTTATCTGATGACAGAGAAAATTATTATTTCATCCATTTATTTTAGATATACACAGTATTTACAATTAAAAAAAATTGAATTCTTGTCCTACTGTATAGAGTCTTGTATCTAGAGCCAAGAGGTCAATGGTCCTTATACGTCACCTGAGCACCATGCAACAACTTTTCACTGATTGACTTTTGTTCATGTTTGATAAACTAGAAATCAAAGCATTCAAAATTTTTAAAGAAGCGCCATTAATGATCATAACTATACATTTAGCATATTAAGTTTGGTTAATTAAAAAGAAGATTTTTAGGAAATAATTTATAATTATTTTCACTATATACTATAAAGCACCTGCCTTGGACCAGAACCCTTGACCCTGGGTCCATAAAAATTCACAATTTTGGAAGAGGCATTCTTGCTCATCATATAGCTATATACTTAATAGTTAGTTAATTTAATACTCAGGAGCAGAAAAGAATATTTTCAAACAATTAATGTATTTTCACTGTATAAGCAAAAGAGCCCCCCCCCAACACCAGAACCCCTGACCCAGGGGCAATAAAATTACAATTTTGGAAGAAGCATTCTTCCTCATCATAACGTTGTACTTAGTTAGTTTATTGAATACCCACCAGCAGAGAAAAAGATTGTCAAACAAATTCTGCATTTTCTCAATGTAATCAAAAGAGCCCCCCCTAACACTAACCTGACACTGGGGCCATAAAATTAAAAATATTGCAAAAGACATTCTTCCTCATCATAACTATGTACTTAGTTTATTTAATACCCAGGAGCAGAGGAGAAGAGTTTTAAAGAAATAATGTATTTTCACTATATAATCAATAGAGCCCCGCCCTAGCACTAGAACCCCTGATCCTAGGGCCATGAATTTCACAATTTCAGTAGGGGACTCAATGGCCATTACTTTCATGCTAACAGTTTGACTGCTTGATATCTAGGAGTAAAGAAGATTTTAAAGATTGCACTAATTTAAGGGGTTTTGATCCGACCCCTGACGTCCCAAATAGTCATGGACCATGAAATTCATAATTTTTATTCCCCTTTACCCGTAGATGCTTTATGTAAAATTTGGTTGAAATTGGTTGGGTGGTTGCAGAAAAGAAGCTGAAAATGTTCAAATGTTAACATATGACGCACGACGAGGGACGACAACGGATAGCAATAGGTCACCCGAGTTTACGCAGGTTACCTAAAAAGAGGAGAACAGTTGTAAATGTCTAAGCTCGGAGGTATATACATATATTAGAGAATACAGCTAAAATAAAAACGTCATATATTTTGCTTTCCAGGCATCATTGTTACATCATCTCTGATTTCCTCATCATCCATCCTAAGAGCTTCAGAACTTTTCTCTGGAAATTTAAGGTTTCATTTTGATTTGTACCTGATGCATACTTTATTAAACATTTCATTTAAACCTCTAAGCAATTGTCATTTAATTTTGATAAAGAGAATATATTGATGACAAAGTTAGGGTAATTCTTACAGCATTTAAATACATACCCTGTTTTCTGTTGAAAATTATCACTGCAAATGTTGATAGTAGAACAGCACTGTAGCAAATAATTGTCACAGTTAAAACAGTCTCCCCATCATTGCTTGGTACGTCATAACTGATGTTAGAGAGAGAAACAAAAAAGAACATTTCAAGTTTTGTAATGCTAGGTTATGTAAGGATCTATAATATAAGTCATTGGTATTTACTTTTGCTGAAAATAAATCATTCAGCTTGATTAGTTGACATATAATTGAAATGGCTGTACTCAATTGAACTTGAATATTTCAATACACAGAACATTAGGAACACTTCCTCGAATAAACACCATTAAACATGAATTGACATACGTGCAACGTAGGGCAATTACACGAAAGAGGCATAAAAACATTGTTCCGTAATTGCTATAACTGGAAAATTAGGGAAGTTAAATAATGTAAAAAAAAAATAACATACGTCTTATTTTGTAGAAACGATTCTTTCTTCTGAAGCTCCACTAACTTGTAACATTCCTGGTCTGATATTTTCCCGGTAATGGAATACATGTGAAATTAAATTACAAATTAATCTAAACGAGAAAAAAATCTTCAATTTTATTTATAGGAACTTATTAACGTTCTTCAGAAATTTGACAAGAAGCGAGATATATCTGCATAAGTTAGGTAAAACACATAGTCATTGAAAATTCAAACTTATATGTGTTTAATCTCATTTTGTTTTATTAATATTAAATTTGTCGTATTTCAGTTTATTTGGAAGCATTTTAGAATTGTAAGTTTTGTATAAAGAAATGACATTCAGTTCAGTTCGTAATAATGAAGACAACTGCATGCTTGTAACTTTTAAATAGAAAAAAATGCTTTCAATTTTACATACATGTAATAATAACATTTTATTTATCAAAATATCATGTAAAATTCTGGTAGTTCATTCTGAGTATTAAAATCATCCGTCCAATAACTTACATAGGTATGCTTCAGAAGATAAATATCTTGGCGGACAAGGGTTGGAGAAGTTTTTACACGGTGCATTGAAATTGTCCTGGATTCTTTCTCCTTGTAGGTTGTATTCTGCACAAAACCCTGTTAAGAAACCACCATTGTATAGAATCAAAATGAATTCTTTGTTAATCCTTAAAATCAAAATATGACTGTTTATTTTAATTCATTATTGTAAATAAATGAATTCGTACCTATACAAAACCAAGTCGGTGCACATACTTCTATAATTGAATTCATTTGTGAATTGATGACACAATGGTATTGAAATTTTTCCGACTTTACACAGTCTTGCTTGACGCCCGAGCAATTCTTTCTTGCTGCAGCATTTATCCAATCCTCTCGTGTTCTTGGACAACTTTTCACGTATTGGAATGTCATGTTGGACTGTGGACAATTTCGGCTGCTTTCAACCTTTGTACAAAATAAATAAAATATACTAATATTGTTGGCAGGAATCTTTAAGAAAATGAGAAAAAATGAAAAAAAAATCATCGTAAGATTACTATTTAACTGTTGTTGTAATGGACGGGGTCAAGTCTGGTAAGACTTTTTATCTATTGATATGGATGTACTCAATTGTACTTGAATATTTCATTACACGGAACATCAGGGTTGCATTCTCGAATAAACATCATTAAACATGAATTAAAATAAGTGCAACTAAAGGCAAAGAAATGACCAAATCTCTGATATAGGATGGGTGAATAAGGATATCCTTTTGCAGAAAAAAACATAATGACCAGCACAACCTGAGTCCTCTGTCTTAGGAATGTCATTTAGCCTATATACAAATATAGTATGGAAGCCTTAGTTTTATCATCTTTCATATTTTCATATTTTATATAAGTCTAAAGTAAGTTTTTTATTATTCACACAATACCCACAATAATAGCCATTTGAAAACAAAAATTAGTACATGTATGAGGGAAAAAAAATAAGATTATGAATTAAAATTAAACAAGCATTTTTCTTAACTTTTTTATTGTACATGTTTAAGTAAAATTGTATTCATAAGAAAGAAGGATTTGTCATAATGTGAAGTTATTTCAGATACAGTGTATATAAAAAATATATCCTTATATTGAAGACACTGATCTGTGTATTGAGATGCAGCTCAATTGAAGAAAGCTCCAAATATCTGTCACATGGTAGAGCCAATCAAAATTTAAATTAACATGTTTAAGATATAAAAGACTATATGCTACTCATTTACCATTCTCAAGGAAAATACTACATACTATTTTAAGAGAAATGTGGTATATCCCATAGATGAATGGTTTACAGGTAATCTGAATTGTGTTTCCTGATGTAAGTGCGTACATTTGCTTTGAATTACATTACATTCGATTTTCATTATTCAATCAATTTATGATCTTGTGCTACGCTTGTTTCAAAATATTCCCATTTGATTATAATATCAAACAAAATGTAGAAATTGAATGTATGTCTCTTATATAGCAGTATTTATTTTTTATTCAAATTGCATGATAAATGTGCAATCATTGTGATGCTGGTATCCCACAACAGTACAAGACGATTTGAAAAAAATAGCCCATATAAATAAAAAAAATGTATACCATGAGGAAATACAGCAGAAGAGAAAAACCAAGAAGATTTTCTTGATATCTCCTTTGGCTCCCTGGACTCATATGATGAATTCCTTTAAAAAAAAGAATAAAGGTGTTACAGTGACGAGTTATACATATATATGTTATTAGGAAGCAAATTCTCTCTGCATGTAAAATGCTCTCATCTTAACACTTATTTGTAAACATTTTCAATTGAAAATTGATATTGTTCAAAATATTTTGAACGATTGAAAAAAACATCTTACAAAAGTGGATTTTGAATATTGATTATATTGGAACAAAAGAACAAAGGGTTTCTAAGCGCAGAAGTTTTTGTAACTGAATAATAATAAAATAAGATGATAAAATAATAAGTTAACTTACTTTTTAAAGAAAAATACCAAGGAAAAAAATTGTCATTCATTCAATCCTTCAAAACTGCCATTAAATGTTGTACATGTGAAACTGATTCATCATTTTTTTTCTTAAAATATGTCTTACCAATCCCTTTTGTTTACATGTCAACAGGAATATGTCACGTGACCAAAAAAATATATGTATTTTAAAAAATTATATTTTTGACAAATTTAATCTCTGTGGAAGTGTTTATTTTACAATTTCAATTTAATTTTTTTTTCGTTTCAACTCATCTTAAATTAAATCAAAAGTATTAAAAAATATTCATGAATATGCATAGTAATTATTTGATTATATCACCCATGCTAGAACACCTAATGTTTTGAAAATTAATAAGATTCAAAGTAAGAATTGCGAAATTGCATGAATTAAATTAGATAGTAATTGATTGTAAGCAGAATCAGGTACTTACGAAGAATCCATATTTCTTATATTAAAACGAAAGTACTTGAACGGGCATGGTCCTGTCAAGGAAACCATCCAATCGGAAATGAATATATCGATCCCGATATAAATTAAAACTGAATACATGTGACCCTATTGAGAGTTATTAGGAAAGAAAAGATCTAATCATATCATCGATGGAATATGTTTTTTTACAAGATGAAGATTATTTCGGTTCAGATACATATCTTTCAGATCCTTACCGTGTGCAGCAGTAATTAATATAAATTTCAACTCAGTAATGATTGATTTATCATTATTATTATTTATGAAGATAAAAAAAACCGAAATTTCATTGGCCGAGAAGAATACTACATGAAACGATATCATGATGTCTACCAACCTCAAATTGCTAATGTGCCCTTTCCACGTGACCTACCCACCACACAGCAAATCAATATGCCACCCCAGCCTCCACCACGTACCATACTGCACAGATCATAGTCAATACGTTGTTTTCATTTTAACATGCAAAATGCCTAATAACTGAGGTCATATAAACATTTAAGGAGGTCACAATGTAAACAATTGTTACAGAACAATTTGCTAACTCAGACCAAATATATATGACCTCCTTCAACGATAACGAATTCATACCACAAAAGATAACTCTGTTACACATATATTTTAAAACTCCACCTCTCTTACGCTTCTTATTCTCATCGATGCAAACCGGAATGATATAAGAAATCTGGTTATCTTGAATATTTTACTTTTCTAAAATTGCATTATGAATATAAATTATAACTCTGCGCATTAAGGGTTTGTTTAATTGTGTTTTTTTTTTCATCTTATATTTTTTTTGTAAAAAATAAAACATAATAAACATTATGAATTAAAATTATAGATTTTATATTATTATAGTAAACTTTGATTTAAAACATTACAATTTGCAGAATTTGCAGGTACTGCATTTGTAGAGAAATTCTTGGAAATACACACCTTGATTTTTTTTCTTTTTAAATTTCGTTGGGTTATTGAAAAAAGAGTTTCGATATTTATAAATTTTACTATAGTTCATAGGTCTGAATAATTTTGAAAGAAGGAAAAGGAAAAGATAGAACTGGCTTTAAATGTACCAATGTGCGTCTTTATATTAAAATTCCGCTTGTAAATGTTCTAAAGGTTGTCATTATCCTGGATATTACTTTATTTCCTCGCAAGGCACGGATCCTAAGTCAACACATTAACGATAGATCCCAGTCATGTTTTATTCAATATCAGTGGGTTGAACTAAGCGACATCTTTCGAAAAAATTGCAAATTTTGATTGTTTTTTTTCACATCTCTCAACCAATCATAAACAATTTGTAACACATTCATATGAGATTGTACCTGAATCCTTATCTGACTATTTTTGACAACTTTAATTTGATTGGTGATTTTCAATGAGAGAAGCAAGCCCACAAATATTGAATGGAATTTTCCAGGGGTCTTACCTTAGCGTTTTGACTCAGGACACCTGGCTTGCGAAGACGAAATATGACATACTCATCCAGTATTTTCTAACAGCTGCAATTGGTTTAATGACAAAAAGAAAATGAAAATCATAACATTTCGTATATACAATCTACAAACAAAAAGATATTAAACAAAATGTACCCAAGTAAGTTATATTATTTTTTGTAAATATAATCAATACAATTGTTCTTAAGGTACTGTTATTTTATTTAATGTTTTTCTCGTTATTTCCAAATTAACCTATTTCCGCATAGAAAAAAAGATAAAACAAAATGTTTTTTGCGTCAGGAAGGAAATGTTCAATATGCCCTGTGAACAATAAGTATCTGCATGTTTTATGTGTTTAATTTTAGTTGCTTTATTTTTTTTTTATGTTTTGTCTGCGTTGTGTCCATTTATTGAACATAACATACTTGCAAGAGACGACATGAGAATGTTGAACATTTTATCGATAATCTGTTTGCTTAGTTTGTCCTGATTCAGAGTAAATAACGAAATAAATCTATTATTGTTTATTTTAAATTAATTATATGTGACCAAATGAGGCATATTTCTCTATATAATTTATATATATATAATTTCAGCGCTAACAAATGTCACGCCGGGGAAATGTATGATCTTGAATCCAGCTCTTGTGTAGGTAAGAGTCATTTGTGAAAACAAATCGACATTACCTTGTTTAATCGGATTCATATAATGAACAGCGCAAATATGTTATAGACCCTTTTCCTATTACATATTTTGCCACGGAGTTATTCCACTTAGCCGCCATCTTGTAGGGCTTAGTAGTGATATTACCTGTTTGAGCAATCAATTTTAAACATGCATGCAAGGAATATATGGTGGGAAATATTAACAATATTATAATAATGAATTATTAGAGGCTTTTACAAACGTAAAAACGTGTAAGTTGAAATAAGTGTTATTTTAATCTCAGTAACCGGTATAATAAATTCAACTTGGTTGAAAAATGAAGGGATCTGGGAATGTTACCAGACAATATGGCGGCTAAGGGGAATAACCCCGGGGCAAAATATGTCATAGGAAGGGTCTTTAGTCACTGCTCAGTAAATATAATATAGTTGATTCTGATATAAAAATATAAATTAATTTCCGGAACGTGTTTCTACATTCATCGTATATGCTTAACTGAGCAGAAATTTATTACTTAATATGTCATGATTAAATTTTCAAATTATAAGTTATCATAAAAGTATATGATACTAAAAAAATAATGAAATCGGGGGGAAAGCCAGAGAATCAATTTCATAATTTTAAATCAATTTCAGTTTCTTCTTTAGATTGTGAGAAGGGATATTCTGGACCGAATTGCACTATAAGCTGTCCCTACCCTGGATATGGCAGAGCTTGTCAGCAAACCTGCTTCTGTAATGAAGACGAATGCGATGCTGCTACTGGGTGTATATACAGTGCAGCAGGGGACGGTATGGCTTGCTTTTAATAATTTCTCATATTTTGATAAATATTGTTTTGTTAATGTTACTTTTATCTCAATTCCTATATATATGAATTTCAAAATTTTTTAAATGTTTTAAATAGAGCGTTATATGATTCAAGATTTTGGCTTTATTACATTTTTTTCATATTCCTTTTTTTAGGAGATCTTTGATAATTTAACTCTTTGTAAGGGACTTACAACATGCATCTATTACAATATATATATTACAATTTCATAAAACAAATTGAATGGCTTTTCCTTTTCGTAGGAGAAAAGACAAAAATAATTTCGAGTGCAAATTATATTGATGTGGATCTTCTTAATACTGCTCATCCAAAACTACTGAATAGCTTTCAAAGTACTGGTGTACTAACATATGGTAATCATGAAAACAGTCAATATCAAAGACTAAATAGACAAAGCGGAGTATGGGTTTTATCGATGACATTGGTTATTCTTTGTTTATTGTTTGCCGGTTTTATTTATTCAAAAAGAAAGTATTGCTATATGAGCCAAGAGGAAGGGTATGAAACTCATTATGAAGACATAAAGGAACTTTAATCATACATGTAACATCCATACATATTCTATGAGTTCTATTCACCGACGCCAAAAAAATTGTGATATTAGTTCTTTAAAGCCTTATTGAATAGTTTATGTAGTATGCAGATTCTAATCAGTATATTCGCTTGGCTAGATTGGTGGTCACTGATGGAATGTTTTTACTATATTAAAAAAATTTACAGGTTTACAATAATGTAAAAACTGTGAAAACTAAAACTAAAAACAGCATCAAAATTTAATAGAAAATAACAGATTGAACGAAAACAACAGATTGTATAAATTGGGAATATCAAATAATGCTGAGCAAAAGATTATAAAGATTATAATACAGGTGGGGGCGTTAACAAGCCATCCAACATGCCACCCCAGGGTTTTTTCCCAGCATATGTTGAATATCTTGTTGAGGGGGGATAGCGCCCCCTAGGGGTATTTATCACAGGTACTAGTTGTGATATGACTATATATTTTTTACTCATCTATGTCTAGTCAGCGTATGATATGCTAGTCACATAAGCTGGTGATGTACAGTAATGCATTTTTGCCTTTTGATGATGTACAGTTACATTTTCTATACAGATGTAAGCAATGGAACTTAAGTAGTCTTGACATTATATGTTTTTTGTACATATGTTTTTCTGATAATTTTAGTAAAAACTTCCTTTTACATTTTCATGTACTCTATTTTGCAGTTGTACTTGTAATTGTCTTTGACAGGGAATGTTAATTTTGAATGTGTTTTTTTTCCTCTGTCTTTTATTTTCAGCCGCATGTTTTGTGCAATATTTTACAGGAAAATAAATGACATTCAACTCTCTGATTATCTTATTTTCCATTGGCTTTAGGCAGACATACATAAAGATTACAGTACAGCAATATTGTAAATAACATTGCAAAGATTTATATCAGAGGATATAAATTGAATGTTTGTGTATAAGGCAAATTCAATCCAAGATGCAAGATTCATGTTATACTTTTTTGATAACATCTATTATCTTATTACTTAGATAATTTTGCTTGTATAGTTTGATTTTAATTTGTAGTGTTTTTTCAAATGTCCTTTTGCATAATTAAGTTCTACTGAATGTCAAATTTATTAGATATATATTTAATATCCGAGCACTGAATTGAAATGTATTTGCAAGATTTATAGATAAGGCTTTGAACCAATAGTAAATGGATGGATAAATTTAGGATATACATAAGAAATACACTTATAAACACTCCATTGAAATACTTATTTATGTAAATTTTGGACATATATGAGTTTGGATGAATGAAAATAAAAACATTTGGAATTAGGTTTAGTCAATGCCAAATTTTAAGAAACAGCTAATTTTCCTGACACACGTTTAAAATGAGATAAGATATCTCTCTGCTATCAAAAGATTTGTAAGAAAAAAGTTGAACAATATACAAATACTTTTTTGATTATAAAATTGAAAATGTATTTTTTAAGAATATGAGAAAATTGTAATCTGGCTATGCATAGTTACCGATAAACAGTCGATACACACTGAAATAAATATTTTAAAAAAAGTAAGAGAATGTGCGTAGTCACCTCCCAACACATTGTAAACTGTTATGAGTAACAGCAAAACTTGAATTTTTTTTTTATCTTTAGCGAAGCAGATATTCTTGAA